AATACTGACGGACTCTTTACTCAGTGGCCTCTACCATCAGTGTGTGAATGTGTGTGAATGGATGAGTTAATACTGACGACTCTTTACACAGCAAGCCTCTACATCAGTGTGTGAATGGATGAGTTAATACTGACGGCTCTTTACTCAGCGGGCCTCTACCATCAGTGTGTGAATGTGTATGAATGGATGAGTTAATACTGACGGACTCTTTACTCAGTGGCCTCTACCATCAGTGTGTGAATGTGTGTGAATGGATGAGTTAATACTGACGGACTCTTTACACAGCAGCCTCTACCATCAGTGTGTAATGTGAGTTAATACTTGACGGACTCTTTACTCAGCGGCCTCTACCATCAGTGTGTGAATGTGTATGAATGGATGAGTTAATACTGATGACTCTTTACTCACGGCCTCTACCATCAGTGTGTGAATGTGTGTGAATGGATGAGTTAATACTGATGGACTCTTTACACAGCGGCCTCTACCATCAGTGTGTGAATGTGTGTGAATGGATGAGTTAATACTGATGGACTCTTTACTCAGCAGCCTCTACCATCAGTGTGTGAATGTGTGTGAATGGATGAGTTAATACTGACGGACTCTTTACACAGCAGCCTCTACCATCAGTGTGTGAATGTGTGTGAATGGATGAGTTAATACTGACGGACTCTTTACTCAGCGGCCTCTACCATCAGTGTGTGAAAGTGTGTGAATGGATGAGTTAATACTGACGGACTCTTTACACAGCAGCCTCTACCATCAGTGTGTGAATGTGTATGAATGGATGAGTTAATACTGACGGACTCTTTACACAGCAGCCTCTACCATCAGTGTGTGAATGTGTATGAATGGATGAGTTAATACTGATGGACTCTTTACACTGCAGCCTCTACCATCAGTGTGTGAATGTGTATGAATGGATGAGTTAATACTGACGGACTCTTTACTCAGTGGCCTCTACCATCAGTGTGTGAATGTGTGTGAATGGATGAGTTAATACTGACGGACTCTTTACACAGCAGCCTCTACCACCAGTGTGTGAATGGATGAGTTAATACTGACGGACTCTTTACTCAGCGGCCTCTACCATCAGTGTTTGAATGTGTATGAATGGATGAGTTAATACTGATGGACTCTTTACACAGCGGCCTCTACCATCAGTGTGTGAATGTGTGTGAATGGATGAGTTAATACTGATGGACTCTTTACTCAGCAGCCTCTACCATCAGTGTGTGAATGGATGAGTTAATACTGACGGACTCTTTACTCAGCGGCCTCTACCATCAGTGTGTGAATGTGTGTGAATGGATGAGTTAATACTGACGGACTCTTTACACAGCAGCCTCTACCATCAGTGTGTGAATGGATGAGTTAATACTGACGGACTCTTTACACAGCAGCCTCTACCATCAGTGTGTGAATGTGTATGAATGGATGAGTTAATACTGACGGACTCTTTACACAGCAGCCTCTACCATCAGTGTGTGAATGGTATGAATGGATGAGTTAATACTGATGGACTCTTTTAACTGCAGCCTTACCATCAGTGTGTGAATGTGTATGAATGGATGAGTTAATACTGATGGACTCTTTACTCAGCGGCCTCTACCATCAGTGTGTGAATGTGTATGAATGGATGAGTTAATACTGACGGACTCTTTACTCAGTGGCCTCTACCATCAGTGTGTGAATGTGTGTGAATGGATGAGTTAATACTGACGGACTCTTTACACAGCAGCCTCTACCACCAGTGTGTGAATGGATGAGTTAATACTGACGGACTCTTTACTCAGCGGCCTCTACCATCAGTGTGTGAATGTGTGTGAATGGATGAGTTAATACTGATGGACTCTTTACTCAGCAGCCTCTACCATCAGTGTGTGAATGTGTGTGAATGGATGAGTTAATACTGATGGACTCTTTACACAGCGGCCTCTACCATCAGTGTGTGAATGTGTGTGAATGGATGAGTTAATACTGATGGACTCTTTACTCAGCAGCCTCTACCATCAGTGTGTGAATGTGTGTGAATGGATGAGTTAATACTGACGGACTCTTTACACAGCAGCCTCTACCATCAGTGTGTGAATGTGTATGAATGGATGAGTTAATACTGATGGACTCTTTACACTGCAGCCTCTACCATCAGTGTGTGAATGTGTATGAATGGATGAGTTAATACTGATGGACTCTTTACTCAGCGGCCTCTACCATCAGTGTGTGAATGTGTGTGAATGGATGAGTTAATACTGACGGACTCTTTACACAGCAGCCTCTACCATCAGTGTGTGAATGGATGAGTTAATACTGACGGACTCTTTACTCAGCGGCCTCTACCATCAGTGTGTGAATGGATGAGTTAATACTGACGGACTCTTTACACAGCAGCCTCTACCATCAGTGTGTGAATGTGTATGAATGGATGAGTTAATACTGACGGACTCTTTACACAGCAGCCTCTACCATCAGTGTGTGAATGTGTATGAATGGATGAGTTAATACTGATGGACTCTTTACACTGCAGCCTCTACCATCAGTGTGTGAATGTGTATGAATGGATGAGTTAATACTGATGGACTCTTTACTCAGCGGCCTCTACCATCAGTGTGTGAATGTGTGTGAATGGATGAGTTAATACTGACGGACTCTTTACACAGCAGCCTCTACCATCAGTGTGTGAATGGATGAGTTAATACTGACGGACTCTTTACTCAGCGGCCTCTACCATCAGTGTGTGAATGGATGAGTTAATACTGACGGACTCTTTACACAGCGGCCTCTACCATCAGTGTGTGAATGTGTAGGTGTGACCTGCGGTGTAAAAGTGCTTAGAGTAGTCAGAAGACAAGAAAAGCGCTTTATAAGCTCAAGTCTATTTACCATTTACCACACTATGTGAAAAAGGCGCCCTCTGGTGGACGTCTCTGCTAGTTTTTTTTCCCTTTAGCTTTCACTTTCACTTTTCGATGGACTCGGGCCAGACACACAACACGTCTCAAAACGTCTCAACCTGTCGTGAGGTTCTCCTGGATGTTAGTCCTTCCCAATCGACATCTGATGTGAAGTGCGTCTAGTGCAATTGAGTTAAGAGTTGAGAATATATATTTGATCTTTTTCTGGAGTATTTGCCAATACTTTATATATTTTGCCTGCTAAGCTAATGGAGCCCAGGTTTGTTTTTGGCTCACTGTGTGGTTACATATTAGCAGCTAAATGTATTACCTTCATCAAGGATATGAATATAACGTGTTCTGTGTGACTGTGGCAATATACTGTAGTTCAGTTACTGTTGTTGCTAGGTGACGTTTTTGATAAAGCCGCATTGTAACCATATCTGATTGTTAATTAGCAGGGCATGCACATGGCATTTAGCCAGGTAGTCACTGTGAATTATGTCCAGCAGAGGGCAGTGCTGCCTTACTGATGTAAATGAATAAGCTATTTTGATATGCTCAGAAGTCTGTCATACCGTTTCTTTGCTGTGAACTGTATTTGTTAGTGAAGAAGCCTGTTAATATGATTACAAATATATTTAAGACTAGATCCTTGTAAAGATAAAAATTATTCACAAAGTGTGTTAGCCCTTCAGAGAGCTCCTCAGGTGTTAAACTGTGAGGAGTGAGGAGGACTTTTAACAGGATGAAGAGTTTCTCAAGCTGAGGAGGAAACAGAGAAATGTTCTCCAAACACGACATGAAGAATATTATTGACTCATAGTTGAGCCGAACAGACTAAAATGATTTGTGCAGATATTTCTCTGCCTTTTTTCCTTTCCCCATCGTCTCAGTAAAGAAAAGGGGAAAGGTCTACCCCTTGTGTATTGGGACACTCTTCGATCTCTATCATTGTTTCCTTTTTGTGTTGTATAAACTCTATAACAAAATGAAATACTTATTCTACACAAACTAGAAAACAAACAATATACATTGAAACGATTCCATTGAGTTAATAATTTCATTTTGTTATTTTCATCATATCCAAATATGCAGTGATGATTGCTGGGTAATATGTTGTCATGTGATGTAGCTAGTTACGGCCAAAATCTGAGGTGAGCCCAGTGCACATCTGTGAGCGGACAGAGCAGTTAGAAATGCCTTCAAACATAAAAGGGTTAAGCTCCCTAAATTAGACTCTTCTGGGTTCCCAAACAGCCGCCTGCCCACAGCTGACCCCTAACCCCCTAACCCTGCCCACAGCTGACCCCCTAACCCCCTAACCCTGCCCACAGCTGACCCCCTAACCCCCTAACCCTGCCCACAGCTGACCCCCTAACCCCCTAACCCTGCCTACAGCTGACCCCCTAACCCTAACCCTGCCCACAGCTGACCCCCTAACCCCCTAACCCTGCCCACAGCTGACCCCCTAACCCTAACCCTGCCTACAGCTGACCCCCTAACCCTAACCCTGCCCACAGCTGACCCCCTAACCCCCTAACCCTGCCCACAGCTGACCCCCTAACCCTAACCCT